GCTTCCTCTAGAGGTAATCCCTCAAATCCTTCTTGGTCCATCCAGGAGCTCGGCTGTCAACGAATTTCAGCCTTTTTGGTGCGCTACTTCTGGTGTCATTGTGACCTCCCTCAATTCGTCGTGTCAAAGCAAAGCTCCTTTCCTTGAACATGCCGATGTTCTTTGGCGTAGGTTTGTTTGGCACGATGTGTCTTCTGAAACTCTTCTCTCATTGATTCTCCTTGCCCGACCTCCCGTGCAGGCCGGTGAGAATGCTCCATCTCCCTGTCATGCTGGGGGACTGCAGGGATTGCTTTATGCCCCTGTTTCTGGCATCGTTCTTGGCCGCTGGAATCGGCATGTCCTCCAATGGGAATAGTGGCTACATGACGTTGTTCTGCATCATGAAATTGGCGACCGATTGCAGGTCTACCAATTTGTTTGTCGTTTCCTTTATCTCACCGTCTCTCCGCAGGCATCTAACTTTCTATAAATAGAGGTCGCTTTTGTTGTAATACCCGCCCTGACATGCTTTCTTCGGTACGTCTCCCTCTTGGTCGACGTCTTTTTCTCCGGGATTCTTATCCCGAGGTTCTTCGTTACAGTTGTCCTCCTTTACGTTAGGTTTGGCATTTTTACCACTCCCGTTAGGGATGTCACTCCCAATTCTTTCTTTCTGCCCGTCATTGGCCATCTATTCTTTTTACGTTTCCCACAGACGGCGCCAAATTGTGTGTGCTGATTTTTGACCACACTGCCAAACAGGTACTCAGCTGGAGAGCACCGACAAAATAGATTTCTCCCGAACAACTTGTCATAGAAAGATAAGACTCCGGGGGTGGTTTGTCCACTCGAGGGTACTCCGACGATCAAGTCAGTACTCAGTTATCTCCCAAAGATAGTAAACAGTGCTTCACTCACAAGCCAGAGTACAAAAAACGTACCTTAGACCCACGAGGGTGCCTTACTTTTATAACCAGCACTAACCTGATCTCTATAGAAGCCTAGCTTCAATGGACTCTGGCTCAATGCTCATCTTGGACTCCTAGCTAGATAGAGGTAAACTCCCTAAGAGCCTTATCCTTATCCAGACTAAGGTCCTCCCTCATTCTAGGACTCTTGTCCCTTATCCATTCATCTCGGATTCTGGTACCTCCGCAGATAACCTCGACCTAGCCAAGATCACCTCGGCGCCATGACCAAGACACGTGGCACCTCGACTAGCACTTCGGTGTCACCTCAACTAGCACTTTGGTGTCACCTCGGCCACGTGTTGTCATTCACAAAAATATGCCCCCACAAAAGGGTTTCATCAAAGTAATCAAAAATGGTTTTTAACACTATGTTTGTGGTTTTGTTCTAAAAAATCATTTTGTTACAGTTTTTCCAAATGGTCCAAAGAGATGTAATAAACACAACAAACCAAGCCAATCGATGATTCAAGGATGATTTTTTCTTTGAATTACTCTTGATCCAATCCCTCAAAGGCTCATCGAAAGAACAAGAGTACCACATCATAGGCCATCAGGTGAGCCTTTCCAACAAGGGATAGAAGTAGCAAAACCAGAAGGATCAAGATTGTTGATTTGAATTCATCATTACCTGAGTTCGAATTTAAACTTTAATTAATTTAAAATAATGAAGTTATAATAATTTTGGATGAGTTAATACACTTTTTAATATAGTCTCACTCCATCATTACCAAGTGTTGCTTATTAATTTAAACAAACTAGCATAGGAATAACCCCGGTAGCTAAAAAGAAAGACATGGATGATATCTAATGGGAAGCATCTACCTAAAAATTATATGTATCTTTAGCAAATGAAATTTACTAGTTGTGCTGTAATCAAACAATAATGTCATTTCAGTTATAAAAAAACAAAAAAATAAGTCATTTTTTTTTAGAACTTTCAACAAACACCTACAAGGCATGAATACAAAATTCACACAAATAAACCAGAACTTACTAACAACCAAACAGAAACTAGCAGAGAAAAATATATGAAATCTGGACTGTATATAATAGCAATAATATTGACGTATATATGAAATATATATGAAAACTGAAATATATAGACGTTTATATATGAAATCTGAATATATACGTATATATGATATATATGATTTTTCATATATACCTATATAAATAACAACAAGAAAAATCTGAAATGACCTCGTCATGGCCGCAATCTCACCTTGCCGTCGAGTCGTGTCATGTCCCTCCGCCATCCTCTATCCTTCGTTGTCGCGTCCCTCTACCATCTCTCTCAATTCGTGTTCTCTCCATCGTGTTCCTCTGTCGTCGTCTCTCCGTCTCTCTCTCTCGTCTCTGTTATGTTAGGGCTAAACAGATAGATGAGATGGTAGAGAAAGATGAAAAAAATGGGAAAAACTCAAATTTTGAAAAAAAATAATAATAAATTAAAAACGACGTCGTTTGGGGAGGACCGCAAGGATTGTCGCAGGAAATGACAACCGAGGATCTGGACTCTTTTTACATGCATACACTTATTTTTGTCACATCAGTTAATATCTATCAACATCTCATTTCTATTTTTCTATTCACTTTTTTTTATTTTTCTATATAATCTTTTTATAAAAAATCAAAAAAAATACTTATTTGAAATATTCTAAATCACTCCTAAAAATTAACGTTCAACTTTTAAGTTTTAACTTTTAACCCATATATCCCATATGGCCCTATGTGAACGGTTATCTCTCCACACTTTTTGGCCATAATAAAGAACAGAAGTCAAACATCCTAAGGCGGAGATATTGTGTAGCTCTAAAAAGATTTGGACCACTGCAACCATCTTTAAGGTAGTTCATCTATCTTTTTTTTTGTGGCATAATTTTTATTTTTTTAAAGTTATAACGTAATTACATTAAAATAAAAGTAAATATTACAAAAGAAAAATAAAAATAGCAAGGCCCTAAATGATTAAATAAGAAATCCTACACAAATTACAAATAGCAAACAATAAAAATTAGCTACAGTTTTGAAAAAATCATTAGTCTTCTTACATGTGGTTTGAAAAAACAATATCTGAATTATAATAAAATTGAATCTACCGACGCCGTCACTATTTCCACTATCTAACTCTAATACCAATGACGCTGCTTTTTTAAACTTCGGTCACAATTGGAAGTTTGATAAGAAAAACACCCGCAACAATAAAAGAGAATAAGTAAAAGAACTATTTTGTGAGTGTTGAAATCTAAAAATTTATGTAGAAAATAATGGGAGAAGTTATCGAATTCCTCTCCATAAACATTATAAAAAAAGAAAAAAATTCAAATCTACACTATAAAAGTGATTTTGGAACTTGTTAAATAGACGTTAGGAAGAAAGTGGCAATAGGGCACCAAAAATCAAGAGAAAGAGGCTCTGTCTAGCACCCCCGTCTTGTCATAACTCTAATGTTATTAAACACCATACTTATCATCTTGATGCTTGGAGTTTAATTTATGAATTGTAGCTTGAAATTTGCAACTAGCGAACTCCCATTCTTTCTTAGAGCATCTCCAATGCACTAGGCATATAATACTTGTTAGTTAAAATGCCTAATGTGATTCACTTTTTTTCAATTCAAATGCACTAGGCATATGATTAGGCATTTTGCCTCAACTCATATTCACTAGCTACATGTAGCTAGCCTTCAACGCTAAGCAAAATCTATTCAATCATTAGGATCATTTCCCTCCATCTTTATTGTTGACGTGGCATTCTATAAAATTAATAGTATTTGGATAAATAGCTAAAATAAAGAGCATGGTTGGAGTAAAAACATAAAACAGTTGATAGGCAAAATAAAATATATACTTTATAGTAATATTCAGATAGGTAAAATGCCTACTACCGTTGGAGATGCTCTCCTACATTAATACCACTGGCCAGAGTAACATAATTATTGATAATTCATATAGGGGCTGGTTTTCATCTAGTCCGTAATCAGATTAGAGGGTATTGTTGGGCCCACGGGTACTGTTTTGATAATCTGAACTATTCAATTTGTAAAACTCATCGAGTACTATATATATAGAAAGCATTACGTTGATTGGATATTGATAGCTATGTGATCAAATTAGTTTTGCATAAAAAAAAAAGAGGACGGCGAAAAAATAAACAGTTGACAGAAATCTGATCCAATAAGATAGTTATCGATATCCAATCAACGTAATTTTTTACAAGCATATAATACTCGACGAGTTTTACACATTTAATGACTTCCATGGTGGGCCTCTAATGATCCAACAGTACCCTCCAATCCGATCATGAGCTGAAGAGAAGCCCAATCCATTCATATAAGCCTATCCAATTATATAATAAGTTATTTAAAGTTAGTTTAAAAACTTAATCAGTGTGTTTGGTTTGAATTTTTTGGATTAAATTTTTTGAAAATTGAATTTTTTGATTTTTGTATTTTTTTGTTTTTAGTGAATATTTTTAAAATTTTAAATATTTTTTTTTACTTTTTTAGATGCACCTTACTTAGATGTATCTAAAAAGTAAAAAATTTGTGAAAAAATATTTCAAAAAATTAATAAATACATAAAAATACAAAAAATGTACTAAATTTTTGTATTTTTTTTGTATTTTTGGTATTTAGTGAATTTTTAAAAGATTTTTTTTACAATTTTTTTTTATTTTTTAGGTGTATTTATATTAGGTATATCTAAAAAGTAAAAAAATTACTTAAAATATTTAAAAAAAATCAATAAAAATAAAAAAAATAGTAAAATTAAGAAAGTAAAATTTTCTAAAAAATATTTTTGAAAAAATAAAACCAAACAATTTAAGAATGTATTTAAGTTTTATTTGTTGACATAACGAATTAATTTCAAACATAATTTTAAGTTGATTACGCTTTATAGCCTTAAAAAAAATAAAAATAAATAAATAAGCTGAAGGGGCATAGGTGATAAGAATTTTTATAATATATGCACACATTTGAAAATAATAAAACGTCTATTTCAATTCAAATGCAATGGCCACAATTCTGAATACATACAAGTTCTAACGTCTATTTACTATTTATTTTTTTTGAAAGAAAAAAACCCTATAGCCTTTTCCCTCCTTCAAATCTCTCTCTCTCTCTTCTTCACTCACTCCATCATACGAAATGCAAATCATCGAACCCTAGATTTTCGCTCTCAGAGACCCAAATCAGTCAATCACATTCGAAGCCACAACAACGCATCGATCACCATCGCCGATGCAAGACTTCATCGGCTCAGTTCGTCGATCTCTGGTGTTCAAGCCCACCGGCGCTGACGATGGTGGTGGTGGTGGTGGTGGTTTAGGAGGGCTCGTTGAGAAGATTGGTTCGAGTATTCGAAAATCGAGAATTGGTCTCTTCTCGAAGCCGCCACTCCCAGCTCTGCCACCGATTGCCAAAGCCGATGGGACTAGAATTAAGAAAGACGATGCGCAGCCGATCCGGTGGAGGAAAGGTGAGTTGATCGGTTGCGGAGCATTTGGAAGGGTTTATATGGGTATGAATCTTGATTCCGGAGAGCTCATCGCTGTCAAGCAGGTTAATTTTTATGTTCTTGTGTTTGTTTTTTTGAAATTCTTTTGGTATTGATTTGTGTTATTTGTGTTTTTGAGGCCCTCTTCAGCCCTAACTCATATTTTTACTCAAATTTTAGTAAAAATTTGATTTGGCATAGAGTACTCTAATGGCCAAACTCAAATTTGAGTATAAATTTGATAAGTGGCACAATCGTAATTTAGAAGCTATTATATCATCCCAACTTGTCTTTAGAAATTTGAGTGAAAAAAGGGTGCCCCTTGATTTGGTAAAACTCATTTTGGTATGAGTAGTTTGAGTAAAGAAGTGGAGAGAGATTTTGAGCATTTTTACTCAAATTTGAATTTGATATTGATAAGACCATCTCCAATCCTTCACATTTTCTTTCATCAAATTTAAACTTGATGAAAAAAATCATCTTCAATCCTTTCAAAAAATGTTCATCAAATCAAGGATGAGTAATTATTTTCATCAAATCCTTCATCAAATTTGAATTTCATGAAAATTTTAGAAAATGAATCATTGGAGATAATTTTTTTCCATCAAATTTGATGAAATGAGAAATTTGGGATAGAAGGGAATTTTTAAAAAGATTTTGATGAAAATTTGATGAAAGGATTGGAGTAGTTTATATCACATCAAGCTTTTAACTCAAATTTGGAATCAAATTAGATGAAAAAAAATTTGGAATCAAATTATATAATTCTAAATTGTCTTCAGAAATTTGAGTAAAAAAAAGGGTATCCCTTGATTTGGTAAAACTCATTTTGGGTATGAGTTTGAGTAAAGGTGTGGAGAGATATTTTGAGCATTTTTACTCAAATTTAAATTTGATATGGCTAAAGGGTAAGGATTGGTGATGCCATGCTAACTTTGGTTTTGATGTTGGTGTTTATTTGTGCAGGTTTCAATTGCGGCCAACAACGCTTCAAAAGAGAAAACACAGGTTAGGGTTCAGGCTTATTGGTGTGAAATTTGATTGCTTTATTTGGATTTGTAGCTTATAAATCAAACAGTATGTTATTGATTCCTACAGTTTCTATGTGAAGCATTGCATTTGTTGTATGAAATAGATTTTTGTATTGCGAGGTTTGAATAATTTTCCCTAAACCCTAAAGTATATTATCAGAATTTGTCTGGATTGCATTTTCGCTCTTTTCATTTATATTTGTTTAATAGGCCCACATTAGAGAGCTCGAGGAAGAAGTGAAGCTTCTTAAGAATCTCTCACATCCTAACATTGTTGTAAGTATTTGATTTGGGTTATTACTGAAACGGTGGTTGTTGAGTGTTATTGTCTTACTGTACCTTTTTGGGTTAGTTGTCTGACTTACTTGTCTCCTATTTTTTCTTCCAGAGATACTTGGGAACAGCTAGAGAGGAGGAATCATTGAATATTTTGTTAGAATTTGTTCCGGGTGGATCCATCTCATCACTTCTGGGAAAATTTGGTTCATTCCCAGAGTCTGTAAGTAACCGCCACTCATTCAAATTACCCAAATTTCTGCTTTGAGTTACGAAGTTTATTTGCTAAGCAGGTCATAAGAATGCACATGAATTAGCCTTTGGTTGGGAGGCAAAGACCTGCTTGTTGAACTTAATAAATATTGAAATTCCTTTTGGAAGTTGTTTTCAAAGTAGACTTATGAGAATATACACGAAACAGATACTTAAATATCTTACTCTTAATTTTCAAACTATGCAATTTGGGTGTTTGGAGTTTGAAAGTTCTCCCTGGATGTGTCTGCTGAGCAGGTTATAAGAATGTACACGAAACAATTGTTGTTGGGATTGGAATACCTTCACAAGAATGGTATCATGCACAGAGACATCAAGGTACCTTTGCCTTCTTGTCAATGGTTTCTACCAAGAATATATTTTTTTCTGTGTCTTTATGTCCCTCTCTCTCTCTCTCTCTCTCTCTCTATACACACACACATAGATGATTATTTATATATAGTTGTGTGTATATATATATGTGTGTGTGCGTACATATATGTTTGACAACGGGCATGCTTCTTTTAGGGAGCCAACATCCTTGTTGATAATAAGGGGTGTATAAAACTTGCGGACTTTGGCGCATCAAAGAAAGTTGTAGAACTGGTATGGAACACCGTTTCCTCTGTTTTTATTTTTAATTTTTTTTTTTCTAGTGATTTCTTTTACTATCTTTCCAAGATCATATGCTGTGAAAAAATGAGTACCTGAGGTATGTATGTTTCAACAGGCTACTATAACTGGTGCCAAGTCAATGAAGGGTACTCCATATTGGATGGCTCCTGAAGTTATTCTTCAAACTGGGCATAGTTTGTGAGTACATTCACACAATTCTATGCTTACAGCTGATCAATTTTAACTTGTCTTGAAGTGATAGTTATAAATTTCTAATTTTTACAGACGACACATTTTATGAAAGTCATCTAAATGGTGGCATTGCGTCCACAACTCCAATAGGTTACAGAGGGGGTCTCCTATATGCTATCTTATGAAAATTAGGTCATTAATAACCATCAAGAACCAGTTACATAAGAATCAAACAAAACTTATGTCCCTACCTCTTGAGGTTAAATATAGGACTCCTTTTTTGCCAGAGTTCACATGTTTTTCTTAGATTATAAACCCGGATCTAAGTTTTTGTAGAATATATTCACGGAAAGTTCTGTGACACCAGGACCTGTATGAGGTTCCAAAAACCATGACAATTTTTCTCTTTGTGAATGAGTTTTATGCTCTCCATTTTCTGGCAAGGACTGACTTGATGTGGGTATCTTCACAATAACACCTGACAGAAAGGATATTTTTATTTATTAATAATTTATGGGTTAGGGTTTTAAAAGATAGAAGAAGGATTCTGGGTTCCTAGCTTGTAGGTCAGAAATCAAATCAAATCAAATCAGATTCTTGTTCCAGGACTCAAATAAGAACTTGGACAAAATTTTAATGCAATTTAAAAATCAACTGTCCTAAACTAAAGCAACTTGACCAATGTCTGCATCTCTGGTGCAATCTTTAAGCTTAACACTACTAACTCATTACAAAACATCCCTAACTACAATGCAGTGGACTCAAGTTTTGTCATATGGAAATAGCCAACACTACCCGAAACCTACAACATATATAATGCCCCAAAACATAATGTGACTCATGTTATGACCTACTGATCAAAATTACTACCCATGTCTAGTAAAACTTACAATTACCAAAGAACCACTAAAACTTAATAAAATCTAAAGAGTTTTGTTGAACAACATACTAACTAATAAAAACCACAATATTAAGACAAATTAACCCTAAATATGATTATTTACTGTATAAGACATGCTCAACGTGAAATTCCAGAATTGTCCACCTTCCTCTTTTGATGCCCTGCATGATCAAGGGCAATGGTTTTTATAACTCATCTGCTGCCGTGCCTTTTCTTACTGGCTTAACCCATGTCACCTTAGCAACACCCTCAATATGGACAAAGTTATTATTCTTCACTGATGTTATAAATGCTTGCACTCTTTTAACTTACTCACATGCATTTACATCACATTCATTGCAATCCTTATTTTGTTATTGTTTAATATTCCAGTTCTGCTGATATATGGAGTGTTGGATGTACTGTTATCGAGATGGCTACAGGAAAGCCTCCTTGGAGCCAGCAATATCAGGAGGTAGTTAAAGCCACCTTCTTTTGTAACCTTCATACTGAAATATCAATTTGTATGATTGACTACAAAATTTTTGAACTCGGTAAGGTGTTAGTCCATTTGTTTGTGAACTAAGAAATTGGTGTTTCTTTCAGGTAGCTGCTCTCTTCCATATTGGGACTACTAAATCTCATCCCCCCATCCCCGAGCATCTCTCTCTTGAGGCAAAGGATTTTCTGTTAAAATGTTTGCTGAAGTATGTTCATAATGCCAGTTTTTTTTTTTTGTCGTTTTCTGTCTAGTTTCTAATCAAGCCTTCACTCTTACCCGACTTAAAAAAAGTATCTGTAGATAGAATCTGTGGATATATGAATTTGAAATTAATATTTTATAAGTTTGTTTCTTTTTGTAATCCTTCTATGACCAAAATGTGGTGGCAGGGAACCAAACTTACGGTCTGCTGCATCAGATCTGCTGCAGGTATTTTGACTTATCAATTTCTTATACATTAAGCCGTACCGCAACTCATATATATGCATGTGTACATAGTGGCTATCTTGTAGTGTAGCACTCCTTGGTTCTGAATGCACAATGTCAGATAATAGAAGTTTTGTCACTGATTTTTTTATTTTTATGTAAATTCTTTGTATGTGTTTTTTTGGACCGTAATCTGCAGCATCCATTTGTAACTGGAGAGTACCAAGAAACCTATCCTGTGTTGCGCACTTCAGTTATGGTCAGTATTAACTGCACGAAGCCTTTCTAAATTCGCATTATGTAGCTTTGTCTTGACCTTTCTTTGCCAATCTTTTAATCTATGATCATCAGGACAATTCTGGGAAATGGATGACAACACCTGAGATGGACCTTAGGAACCCGTAAGTGTTTCTGATAAATGATTTTGGATGCTTTCAAATACATTATTGTCTGTTATTTGTAATTTTCACTCTCGAGGATGCATTGATGCTGTAGCATGGACCCTACTATCAGGACAACCTACACGCCATTGAAGGATGTTGGTAATAGTGTGAGGTGTTCGACTATATATCCTGATAAGTTTTCAGGAAGAGGGCCCCTTTGGGGATCAAGCAATTGTGATGATGATATGTGTCAGATTGATGATAATGATGATCTTGTGGTTGGAGCATCAATGAAGTTTAATTCGGTGTTACTTTCTCATGATTTAAATAAGGTAATATATTGTCTTTACACCCTCTGATATTTGCTGACATAGTAAACTCTAACAACCAATGGGTTTTTTGTTTCTGATAACCTAGAGTTTTAATCCTATGTCTGAGCCCAATGATGATTTGCCATACAAGTTTGATGAAAGTCCAGAGTTGGAGAAAAGTAGGACAAACTTATTTGCTGGTCAAACAATTAATAAAGCTGCTAATAGCCTTGAAGCACCTGGTAACAATGATTTCGCATTTCCAAGTGGTCCCTTAGTAGCTGAGGAGGACGATGAAGTTACTGAGACAAAAATTAGAGCATTCCTTGATGAAAAGGTATTATTGCTTTTACAGGTTTTTACTTTCTAATTTGAAAAATAATATAAAATGGACAAGCTCTGTTTCTTAAAGTATCTTATGCTTTTCACTTCCTCTGAAAACTGCTTTAGGCTTTAGATTTGAAGAAGCTGCAAACACCTCTTTATGAAGAGTTCTACAACTCATTGAATGCAGCTGGTTCGCCAAGTCCTGTTGGGATTGAAAACAAAGAGAACTTAGGAAGTAATTTGAACTTGCCTCCTAAAAGTAGGTCACCCAAACGGTTGCCTAGTAGAAGACTTTCTGCAGCTGTTGATGTTGCCTATACTGCTACCTCTGGGACTCATTCCCAGCGTGTATCAATCATTGGTGCTAAAAGTGATCAAACTCTACCACATGTACATCCATCTAAACCTAGTGAATGGAAAGAGCTTCCTGTTGATGCTCCGCGGGAGCTGATTAGTCCAAGGTTTGTGAATTGATGTCTGATCATTGCTTTAGGCTGTGTTTGGTTCATGAATTTGGGTAGAGATTTGGAATCTATTTCCCTCACTTTTCCTTTCCTTTTTGAAATCCATACCTACATCTATGACCCAAAAACACAGCCTTAGTGTATGTTTGCTTTGATGAAATGTTTTTCTTTCCGAAACTTGAAATGAAAAATTGTTTTTCGCTGGCAGTGCAAGCTTCTCTGAGAGACAGCGAAGATGGGAAGAGGAGCTTTATGAAGAACTTGAGAGGAAACGAGGCAAGTTCAACATTTCCTCCTAATAATAAATTATATATGCAATCTGTTGTGTTTATTGGATTCCAGGTCCTGGGCGATTAAATTATTCCCTGAAGCATGACAATTGAAATTGCATATTGCAGAGATGATGCGTCAGGCAGGTGTGGCGAAGACACCATCTCCAAAAGACCGAATTGTGAATCGACAGAAAGATTGGTCAAGATTTGCTTTCCCCGGCAAATGAATGTATGCTTTTGTTGCCTCACATAAATCAAGGCTACTCAACTTTGAATAATTCTCACCCCTTTTGGGAACATGACTATTGAAACTCGACTTTGTAGGTGGAAAGGCAAAAAAGTCATTTGTGAAGAATTCGATCAGAGATTGATAAAGGGCGTGAGTGATTACAATTTGCATACCAGTTCTACAAATTAGTCCTATCCATATTGATGCGGTGACATGCATTGTATGTAGCTCTGCATTTGGTGAAAATGGTATTTCAATAATATATTAGTTGGCTACCTAGCCAAACTTGCATGAATTCATGGCAGTGTGACCACCTTACCTATCAGGTGCTTGTGGTTCAGCCATTAAAAATTTCATGCATATTGTGTATCTTTGTATGTGGCCATTTTTTTCCCTTTCCATGTAACCTAAGTATTTATTTTTTAAAAATTATTATTATATTTGACATGTATGTTACTGTGCCGAGGAGTATGAGAAGATAGAAAAAAGGGAGTATTTTTGAGTTTGGGTTCAACGTGTGAAAATTTTCATCTGATAGAGTGAGGCAGGTTATAAATATATCTTCCTTTTGGTAAACATGGTGGTTAAAGTAGTTTTGAGCCTTATGGCATCTCTTTGGGGTTTACTATTTTTATTTTGCTCACATTATTGGGTTGCTGTTTCTACCTTGAAATTTAGGAAAATTTCACTTTGAAATGTTGCTTTAGTTCCTCTCAGTAGTGTATTAAATTCAATTCACATCTATCATTTGAATAGATGGAGCATGTAAATTCAGGAAGTGAAATGTTGTGGATATGAGGATAATCTTCTTACTAGCAAATGTTGCTTGTGTTATTAGATCAAATTGTAGTTGAATGGCTTGTTGGTTAGGGTTGTTAATGGTACATGACATGGATTTTGGTTGAACATTTGAACACCTTATAACCTCAATTTCCACCAACAATTTATCCTTAGCTTGCCCATTTATGATAATGACTAAGCCTGTGTTTGAATCATGAATTTAGATATGGATTTAGGAAAAGAAATGAAAAATGTTTGTGAAATGTAGCCATAATTCATTCATATTTCACCCATTATTTCCCTTTTCTATCCAAGAATAATGTTACACATATCTACAATTTTAGCCCTTATTTTTTTTATCCACTATGTAAGACGGGGCAAAATTTATATTAATAAATATATGTGAAATCTATTTATTCGTGTTTAGTAACTAGAAACAACATAGTCATAACTGCTGTTTTGGAAATACATGTATGGTTGGTTGCAATTTTGTTTTCAATTTTTTTTGCTCCTATTTTAAAACATTCATAATTATTGGATAATAACAAATAAGGAGGATCTTGATTGTGAATGCTATAAGATAGAGGATGACATGCTTTGTTCAATAAACCCACATATACTATACTACCATTTATTTAGGTTGATGTTTTCTTTTTCTTTTTCTTTTTCTTTTTCTTTTTTTGGGATTGTTCTAAAAGGATACTTCATAAAATAAATAAGTTTGTTACAAATGCTAGTTGATTGAAAATGCATGAAGGTGCTAAGCTAAATAATATAAAAGAGCCATTGCCCAAATGTGCTAAGAGATTTGCGCATTTGTTCGCCTCATGAACGTAGTGATTGATTTATTTTTTTCAGTACAAAGTAGTGATTGATCTCAAATTCATTAAATACCTACAATCAAGAATGATATTACTCAATCTGTGATTATTAATATTTTGTGCACACAAGAGTTACTTGACCAATGTGTGGAAGTTTTTTAAGTTCAAATGCACTATTTTTTGTGATTATATTACAAATTTACAATAACTACTTGTTGGTTCTATGTGATTGTTGAAATAAATATTTAAAAAAATGCAAATAAAAGATATATATATATATATATATATAAATGCAATTGAGTTTGTGTTTTGTAATACAAATAAGGTCATATTTTTTATTTGTGATTATTAATATTTTGTGCACTTTTTTTTTTTTTTTTCATTGATCGAAAAATTCCCTTTGAAAAAAAAAGGGTTTCAAGGAATAATTGATGTAACGAGTGGAGGAACAAGGAACTGTTTGGGTCACCTAAAAGATGGTCCAGAGCCACCCCGTGACTGTCCTCATGTTTCCTAATGGGTACACATACATACATATATATATGATGGAACTACTTGTCTATTTTCAATTTTCCTTCAAAAAGATTATCAAATTATATATATATCTTAAAATTTTAAATAGATTGGAGAAATTTTTAAAAAGTCCAGTAAAAACAAAAATAGGCTAATTTAAAAATAAAAAAAAATGGCTTAGACAGACCTAAAAAGTAAATAAATGAAAAGAAGGTTGAATTTTTTAAAATTTTCAAAAGAATTTTCTCAAAAAGTAACCCTTGGAATATAGGCAAGCCTTAGGCTTTTGGTATTATCCGTTTTACCTATCTTTTTGCAAAAAATTGGATTATTGCATGAGATAAAGTAGTTTCTCAAGAAACCAAAAGACAATGAAGAAATAGTAAGAGGCATGCATTTGAATGGAGGCTGTGCTTGGAAATGATAGGAAAAGAATGTTTGTGATGGGACGAGGTAGGGACGTGTCTTTTTGCCTCTTTTGCACTAAAAAAGAAGATCTTTTGACCGGGAAAGCCTTAGATTAATATGGGAGATTAATGTTGAAAATGTGAAAGAAAAATATCAGTTCATTCATAAAAAAGAATATTCCATATTTTGTGGTTCTCATGATTTTACTCATTTATTAGGTGAGGTGGTTGGCTCTCTTTATTTTCCATATATATATATATATATATTTTTTGGGGGGCTTAATTTGTGGTGCCAATCTAAAATGTTAGGAATGACTCAATTTGTGGTGCCAATCTAAAATGCTAGGAATGACTCAACTTGGCTTGATCACATGATCACATGTAAATTTTTGTTACACTTGTGACTTGGTTACAATCTAATGTACCTTGGTTATATTCTATAGGAACCTTCTGAATACATTCTATATGTACTTTTATTATGTATTTTTGTGATACATATTATGTATTTTTGCGATGAATGTTATGCATTTTTCTAATAAAATTATGATAATTTGTGGTTCTAAAATAAAGTTACGCATTTTATGATAATACTATTGTATTTTTGTAGTAACATTACATATTTTTTTTTTTATCTAAACATTTTCTTACCACAAAATGTGTAACATTATTACAAAAATATGTAATATTATCACAAAAATATGTAATTTTATTCTTGAACCACAAATTGTTGTAACACTACTAAAAAAATAAATAACGTTTATTATAAAAATACATAATATATATAACAAGAATACGTAACATAAAGAGGTATGTACCGAAGGATTTCTCATATTTTATAACCAATGCCACACAAAATTAAAATACAGCTATATTGAATTGTAACTTAAAAAGTGGTGTATCATAGAATCGTTTTTTACGGTCGCCCTCCATATAATGTAATGATGTTCTCTAATCACAAAAAATAAAAAGTGTACAAAACATGAACTTGTTCTGAATCATTCCATGTGTTGTGAGATTGTGCGGAGAAAAATTGACCCATTCTTGATGATGAAGGAAATGTAATGGAGAAGATGGTCGAAACTGGCCGATCGGCCGAGTAACTCTAATGTTCATGTCAATCCACATTGGAGAAGAGATAACAATTGAGAAGTTGAGTAATGAATGATAACATACCTTAATCTAGATCTGTATTAGTATAACTTTTTTTGATGCCCAAGAATATCTAGATACTTCTAGTGATATTTTTAAGAACAATCCTGTCAAATGTAAATAAATTACTCTAATTTGGTCATACTTGTCATTTCTTATCATGCCAAGTGGTACATATTAGACTTAAACTAATGAGATTATGAGTGTTGTGATTAGCATTTCATCCATTATTTTTGAACCTTTCATTTTTTAATTTTTTTTTAAAATTATAATAATAACTTCAAACGAAATTATCAAAAAGGATATCAAATAATTTTGGGACACCTTATCTTACAATTAAGTCTACATATTACATCATGAGTTAGGGTTTATGACAGCACTCATTTCCATCACCATCCATCCATCTTTTTAAATCCCACCTTCAAAACCTATCCGTCCTCCAAACCTTGAAGACCCTTTGGCGGTAATATTATGGCAGTAATGGTGACAACCATTTGATTATCTACACTTCTCCGGCAATAACAATGAGTGAAAGCTTTTTCAGCAATCACAACCATGAGACGAGAGGAGTACAACAATAAAAGCTTAGAGGAGGTTCATAGCTTTGATGGTGTTCTTAGCTCAGAGAAAATTGATTTTGTAAGGGTAAGTTTTTTGAAAAAAATAGCAAAAGTAATAAAAACTATTCGTCATTTTTTCGAGACTAAACTCCTGAACATATGATTGACATTTGGAAACACAGACCCGAACATTGTTCATTTGTTTGGCAACAGGTAATTGAACATTTCTTATTTATTTGGGAACAAATAACCAAAATTCGTAGAGATTGCAGAACCCGCAAAAAGGTATTTTTGAATTAGCAACAAAAAATCTTACATTTATTTTCTGATGTCATGAACGAAGTATGTGGAGATGAAGTAGTAATCACCTTCGTGGGTTTTGTAGGGTTTATGGGAGGGACTTCTTGGGGTATAGGGGTGTGCATTCAATTGAATAGGTAGAATATTTTTACAATGATAATTTTGGTATTATTTGGAGGGAGAAAATAAATTTTAAGGATTTTAGAATTTATAAGTGGGGGTCTAAAAAATGAGGGGTTCAAAATAATTAATAAGGTGCTAATAGCATTATAGCATACAAACTGAGGCGGCCCGACATTCATCTTAGCTAATTTTTACCTCTTCATGGGTTAAATATTGATTTTGTGTATATTTCCGTAAATTTTGCATGAAATAATGAGTCAAAAAATTATTCTAGAAAACATTACTGATATAATGGAAAAGTTTTTTTTATTTTTTTATTTTAAATTTTAAAAGTAAATGTCTCTCCCATATTTCATATTGAGTAAGCCAGCCTTGCTTATTTATTTTTTTCTTCTTCATTGTAAAACTTTATTTCGATTAAAAATTTGTGAATAGATTTGTAAAGGGCAAAAAATGACAAATAAAAAAATAAACACAACTGAAAAGAACAAATCCTCTGTCTTTCATGCCCATTGCCATGAAATGCAATCAAATGGAAAAGCAAGTTGTTGTAGTGGACATATGATCGAACAGGAACATTGAGGATCTCTTTCCATGTAAGCTCATGCTTGTCTCTTTGATAACCCTTATTTTAATTTCTTTTTTAACTTGCACTGAACTCTTCTACAATTTGAAAAAAAATATAATAAATCTCATAATTTTAATTTTAATAAATTAAAGAGACTTATATTAGTGCAGATAATTTAAAAACATAAAGATAAATAAGATAAAATATACATTTCAATATAAAATAGATGACAATATTATATTTTTTATATGATTAACAAATTATTGATTACGGAGGGATAAAACATTGGCCCAAATCTAACTTCAGCTAAGCAGGTTAGCCCCCCAGAAAACTAGGAGGCGTATCAAAAAGGCAGATAAGGGGATAATGTCATGTGACCAAAGCGTGAGTAAGATCTCTTTCTAGAA